TACAGTTTAATTAGAAGTCATTAGTATGTATTTGTTTTAGAATTTGTTAAGTTTGCTTATAAACATATTACAATTATAGTGGTGGAATATACAGACATGTAAAAATATTTAAGTATTTGATAATTAGGTTATATCTCGAAAACTAGAGCTTACACAAAGAAAAGGTTTGTATTTTTGGAATCAGCACAGATGAATTAACCAAAAATAGTTGATTTTCTGCTGTTCATTTACTATTCTGAGGAATAAGTCCCTAAGGAATTAGTGTATTAGTCCTCTTTCTCTCTATTTTGGTTACTATTGATTCCTTGACCGAAAATATTCAACATCTGTCTCTGTCCAGTTTTGATCAGAATTGCTCTCAATTTCTAGCTACTATAGTTAAGGACATAGCTCTTAGGAACTCCCTAGCAAAGCTTTATTAAAACAAACATACGAGTAAATGGATGACATCCTAAGAGGAACCGATTACTGTAGTGTTAATAAAATTAAGTATTAAGCATCTCTTTCTACTCGACCTCCACAGCTCCTTGAACTTGATCAAGAGAAAATACACACGACAAACTACAAATTTGTCGGCTTTTTAATATTTATCATTCTCACAGATTAGAAAATAATAAAAATGTGGTCCACTTTAAAAGGTAGACCGCCAGTCAAGCCCCCAATTTAATTCGTCATGTTGAATGTTATGTCCAATAAATGCAAATAAATAGTTAGTAAAAAAAAGTTATTATCTACACTAGGATCCACGTGTATGACGAACGTGCAGACAGTAACTGTGTATCAAAGTTTAATATAATTTTTTTTTAAGTAAACTGGTTCTTACATTTTTAATGTTAAATACGTACGTCTAAAGGTGAGTCCACATATGATCCGAATACCTGCAGCCTACATTCTTATAACAATATTCAGTTAATAAAACAAAGAATACTCTTGAAAGAAGGTGGTGGCAACACAAATGCATAAAAGTAGGGAGAAATATGGTGGCAATCAATTACTTTTGGATTTGAAATTTAGAAATTTTGAAAGCTAGGTCGAAAAAACACAAAATGAAAAAAATCCATCTCTGTTCAAGAACGGTTAGCTGTCACAATCCGTTTTTTGGCGACTGGAGATTCTTTCACTAGTTTACAATACCTTTTTAAGATCTCGAAACAATCTATAAGTGTAATAATTCTGGAATATGTGGAGCTATAGTCGAAGGGTTGAAAAAAAAAACATTCAGGTAATTTTTATTTATAATTATGTTCAGTCCTAATTTAAGTCCAAACTGGGCATATCTGTAGAAAATATGGTTGGGGAAACTGTATTGGAACCATTGGCTTGGGACTATATATGTTGGCGTGGAATATGGGGTCGTTTGGAAAGATTGCAGTGAAAATTTGGATTCAGATAAGTGAGGTATTGGATTGGTATATATAGATATAAAAGAATTGTTAGAATGTACTGAGGGAGTAGGGCTTTGTGTATGTTGTTCAAAGATTCCTCTGTCTGCTTAAAATAAAACAGCCATTATTTTTTCTTGGACAATTGACGCTGTAGCATTGGAATACTTTTTTAATTTGGACGCCACTAACTTCCCAAAGTCCGTATATTCACTACAATCTGAATCTTCTTAAGCTTTTGCAACTTTAGTTAGTACTGCAAATGCGGCGTCCAACTTTTTATCATTAGCATCTCTTTTCTTTCGGATTCGGGAAGTATGGGCTAAAGTAGCGAATTTATCTGGTCTTCTTTAAACAGTTTCCTGAGCTGTCATAGTCTGTTGACTTTCTAAAGTGTCCTGAGTCTCTTTTGCTTTTATTATATCTTTAGGAATACAAGATTCGTCTCCTATCGGAGATTGGATTTCATTATGGCAATTCTAATTTTATTTTCCAATTTTATTAACAAATACAAGATTATCTTCTCCTAAATTCTTATTTACTTCATCTATTGTCTCCATTTATAAAAAATTGTATAAGTTGCTACACGAATTATCTTTTGCAGATACCGATAACATCCGACAAATGGTTGGACGTGGCTAAACTGTATAATGATAATCATGAATTTGTTGCTTGTGTGAGTCCATTTCAAATAGGTAAAGAAATAATAAATCAGACTTACTCACAATCAATTTAATTTAACTATCCGACGACCGGTTTCGCTTTCTACAATATGCAAAGCATCTTCAGGTCTCGGTACAAAGTTAAACAAATGATGCCGGTACTCTATTAATAGATGGATGGTAGAACATGTTTGAAACTACTGTATATTGTTGAATGGAGAACTCAATACTATTATTGCAGTTGTTTGACAGTAAACGGGAAGTTCTTGAGGAGGTAGATTTGATCCAATGAATGAATTTCATGGATGAATGAAAAAATTCATTGGATCAAATCTACCTCCTCAAGAACTTCCCGTTTACTGTCAAACAACTGCAATAATAGTATTGAGTTCTCCATTCAACAATATACAGTAGTTTCAAACATGTTCTACCATCCATCTATTAATAGAGTACCGGCATCATTTGTTTAACTTTGTACCGAGACCTGAAGATGCTTTGCATATTGTAGAAAGCGAAACCGGTCGTCGGATAGTTAAATTAAATTGATTGTGAGTAAGTCTGATTTATTATTTCTTTACCTATTTGTATAATGATACTTGGAATTTTCGTTATTGCCTACGGGCCCTGGATGGTAAACATGTGGTATTACAATCAACAATGAATACGAGCAGCGAATACTTTAATAATTATAAATCAACATTCAGTATAGTCTTGCTTGCATTGGTTGATGCTAATTATAATTTTCTCTATGTTGACGATGGTGGTCAAGGACGAATTTCTGATGGTGGAATATTCAAGAATTGTTCTTTGTACAACAACTTGCAGAATAATTGTTTGACTTTGCCTGAAGTAGAAGTTTTCGTTGCTGATAAGGCATTTGCTTTAAGCGAAAGGCTAATGAAACCATTTTCTGGCATTCAAAATAAAGGGTCAGAGAAACTTAAATTATAGGTTATCGTGAGCACGTACGGTTGTGGAGAATGTATTTGGAATTGCTTCAACAATATTCAGAATACTTCGAAAGCCTATGTCATTGGGTCCCGAAAAAGCTGCGCTCATAGTAATGATAATAACTCATTTACATAATTTTCTACGTAAAAGCTCAACCTCCTGCCCGTTGTATACGCCGAAAGGAACATTTGATACCGAAAAAGATGGAAAACTTGTGGAAGAAGCATATAGAACGGTAAATAATGATCATATGTCATCCCTTATACCTTTGAGAAACATACCAAGGAAATCCCCTACCGATGTTAAAGTTATTCGAGATGAATTTCGAATAGCGAATTTCTTCTAGGAAGAACTAGAATTTCATGGCAAGACAATTACGCGTGAACCATTTTAATGACTTTAAAAAAACAAGAAACATAAAGAATACTTACAGTGTTTTGAGTATTTCGAACTTTATCCCTATCCAAAAGAAAAATCATGCTATTGGAAGCAAACCAGCTAGTCTCGTTCTGATCGACCAGCTACAGTTCTGATCGACCTGTAAAATAAAAAAATAAAGACCTACTAAAGATTCAATTTGAATTTGAAACTTTAGTTACTGAAAAAAGTAAGAATCTATAGTAGTTATCCTTCCATTTAAATAGCAGGATGTACTCTCCTCCTCATTTATTGAGCCTTTGTCAGGGCGTGGTAATACTCTAAATATGATTTGCTTGCTGTTTTCATTGGATGAGTTCCTGCGTCAAATGCTAAAAAAGTTTCTGGTGGAAAAATCCCTTTATCTATGGTAAAACTGAGCGACAACAAAAAATTTTGGGAAAAATCAGATCCCCTTGGTACAAATAATTGAATGTAATAAGGGTAAAAAAAATAGTTTTGGATTGCAAAAAACTGAACGCTTTTTCCAAAGTTAAAAATGCAACAAAGCAAAACCAGCAGTATAACATGAAAACGAAGAATAAATGAAAGAATTTTAAATTGGAAATTAGCAAGTAATGGGTTATTTTCTTGGAGCAATTTATAATATACATCAGGAATATTTTACCATACGTTTACAGTTACAATTGAAGCGGGTATCATGACCTCACGTATCACTTAATTAGTTCCCTTATCTCCTAATTTAACAACTCTACAGGTACATAAATTCGAGTTGATATTTATTTTTTTGATGACCTTTTTGATCTTTGTGATCAGAAAATAACTTCATTCATTAGACACACAGCGGGTTTCATTTGGCCCAGACGATCAGCACAATAAAAATTGATATCAAATAAAATCGAATAACGGAGTAACTCGTTAGTAAAATTAGATGAAATAAAAAAGAAAAATTGTACGAGAGAATATCTTTTTCGAAGCGAAAATAATTTTTCTGTGCGAATTTATATTTTGCAAGCAAAGTTGTGGATAAAATTGAGAAAGATGACGTTAAACGGCTTTTCGAAATTATATATATACAAAAAATACTGGATATTAGTGACTGTCAATATGAACAAACAACACAATTTATTATTGTTGCAGTCAAAAAATTAGCCGGGATGTTAAAAAAACACTCTTTTGACTTTTTGTCTAGCTTTCGGAATCGTTTTATTCCTTTTTCAAGACACTGTAATAAGACAAATGTGTAAATATTTAAAAAATATCACAATTCTTCAGTGTAACTTACTAGTCGTTGAGATTATATATAAAAGCATTGACACTCAACATTGATTAGACACATTAAAATATAAAATCATGGACAAAATACATTCTAAAATTTTTAAAATTTGGGTAAAGATAGTAAAACTTAGTTTATGGCATCTTTTACTGGTATGTTTTAACTCTTATACATAGAGAACAGAAAGTAAAATCCCTGTAATTAAAATGTAATTAGGCGTACTTGATATTATCTTTCTTTTCAAGAAATAAATAAATCTTTCTTTTCCAATTAGTATTTTTTGGCCCACAATAGCCTTTGTTTTTTCATTCGTTTAGTTAGAATTTGTTTTTATGTGGACACATTGCCATTCTACCATTTTCCAAAAGTTTTTTCCGAACATTTAAGCCATGAATCACTACATCTGATTCTGCTAGATCTTGTTGGAGCTCTTGGTTTGTTTTTCTTGGGTCCAATTTGCTCTTTTGAAGTAAAAAATCGTTCATCTGCTGGTGTCGTTTTTTCTCTTCTCCATATTCCTAACGTTTTCACGTCCATTGGTCCTGTTTCCCGTTTAGGCTTCAAAACCTTACTACCCCCTGACTCACTCTTTACGTTCTTGCAATTTCTCTTTGTGACATGTGTGCCACACATGTAAGATTATCATATTAAGTGTGTTCACTGAACGTGATAATCTTTTTACACTTCCTAGGCGTAATATTCATTATGGATATTTTACATATCCTTATTGTCATTTACTGAGGTTTACGGAATGATTTTCCAGCATTTTTGCTGCGGATCCCAATTCTTCTTCTATACGGAGAATTTGGTTGTATTTAGCCAGACGTTCTGATGTGCAAGGAGCTCCAGTCTTGATTTGACCAGTGGAAAGACCAACGACAAGATCGGCGATGAAAGTGTCTTCGGTTTCACTAGACCTGTGGGAAACCATGGTGCCCCAACCGTTGGCCTTGGCAAGATTGTGGGCTTGGATAGACTCTGCCACAGTATCAATTTGGTTGACTTTCAAAAGCAAGCAGTTGCAAGCTTTTTTCTCTACTGCGGTTTGGATACGTTTTGGGTTTGTGACTGTTAAATCATCACCAACAATTTGGATGAAAGTTGCAGCAGTGATTTTAGTCCATGCTGGCCGGTCATCTTGGTCGAAGGGATCTTCAATGAAAACGATGGGGTATTCTTTGATGAATTCTTGGTAGAGGTCAAGAAGTTGGTCAGGGGTGATCCATTTGCTTTTGTCGAAGTTGGGGTTTTTGAAGTCCAAGTCGTATTTACCTTCTTTGTGGAATTCAGATGCAGCAACGTTCACACCAATTTCGATCTTGCCGGTGTATCCAGCATTTGCGATAGCAACCTTGATGAGTTCAAGACCATCTTTGTTGTTGAGAATGTTGGGGGCGAAACCACCTTCATCACCTACAGCAGTAGCGTCCAAGCCTAATTTAAAAATTACACGAAATTAAATTAAAATTAAATTTAAAAATCCTGGAATTACACGAAACAAATTCACTAATTACCGAAAATAATACAAAATAGTATAAAACAACACAAACTTAGTGGGAAATATTGTAAAACACCCTCAAATAAAAGGCAGATAGGCTATATTTTCAATGCTTCATCAGTTGTAAACGTGTGGACAGTTTTGCCAACTGTGAATATTGAAAAATGTCGCAATGATTCCAAGAATTCGCATAATACTGTATAAATGATTTAGGATGCATTTTGTTTTGTATTAAAAATGTGTACGTTATTTGTTTTTCCATTTAGTATCGGGTGTTGACTAATTCTATAATATCACTTAAATACGTAAAATACGGTAAACACATTCATTTAAATTTATAGCTAGTATTTATTACATTTTTTTAAAGTTATAAAATAGATGAAATGTGGGCGAGTTACAAAGATAGACAGGTCCAGTTCTGAATTTAATTACCTATGTTGAATTTTATTATATATTCATATACAAGAGCTGATAATGTAGAACTAAATTATAATTTTTAGATATTTGTAAAGGAGTTGACTATATATTAACCTAATTAAATGTTTCGTTTTTGATTTTAAATTATCTTACTTAAATTATTTTAAAGTTTTTCAAAAAATCTGAAATTTTAGAAGTTTATGACATATTTTTAAAAGAAATATGTTTATGAAACTTATCCTCCAATCAAATAATTATACGACAAAATTAACAGAAATATGTCACGGTGTAAACATTTGAAAAATTTATTGTGGTAAAATTTCTGAAAACGTGATTTATAATTAATCGTAATTTAATTTCTAAGTTGGACCGTACAAGAATTATCGCTTTAGTTTAAGAAGGCCATTCACAGAGGTTCGTGGCTGAAAAAGTGAGTATTTCTTGTCTTACGATTAGGATAGGTTTCTGGAGACAAATTCTATACAGAATAGAGCTCACCCTAGTAGACCCCGAGTTACCATAGAGCAACAGAATAGCTATATCAGTCTAGCTAGTCAGCTAGTCTCTACTAGCCCTCCAAAGAGACTTCAGGCTTGCTACAGGAGTCAGAGTATCTGTGGCTACAATAAGAAAAAGAATTTTAGTGTCAGGTTTGAGAATTCTTCGTCCAATAAGAATTCCTCAACTACAACCTAGATATGTTTTGCACTAGGGGAGAGTAGTACACAATGAGACATGGTACACAATAAGACATTCTAATTTTTTTTTTAATTTACCACCAAGTTTCAATTCTGCAACCAACATTATCTCATAAATGTCATTTTACAGCGCCAGTCAAAATACCACCATTTCATTCGTGACCTCGTAAAAGTTACAGTGATAAACTGTTTAATTAAGGTAAGAAGTTACTTTTTATATAGTTTTGTTGACTTATTATTAGAATTAATTGTTGATTTGTATCAATTTGCAAGTGTATGCGTGAAATACCACAGTTAAGTTAGTCTAACCTCAAATAGTCATGCCTCAAAACTAAAAATTAAATATGATTATTTGCATTTGTTTACAACAATGCTACTTGGTACACAATGAGACACCGGATGGTAGTACACAATGAGACTGTCCCATTGTGTACTACTAAAATTTGTACCAAGTGTTTATGCTATAATGATATGTTGTATAAGTAGAATGAAAGTTTATTATGTTTGTTACAGACATGATGCGCAAAGAAAAACCAAGGAGTCGAGCGACATTCAGCTCCGATGATATGACAAGTGCCGTACAAGATGTTTTGGACGGAAAATCATTAAGAATTGCTGCCGTTGAACACGGTGTAAAATTTCAGACATTACAAAGATATGTCGCAAAAGAACGTACTAATCCAGATGATGATCGAATGGAACCCAATTATGCTGTACGACGTGTGTTTACAGAGGAACAGGAAATTTCTCTGTTTGACTATATCAAAACTTGTAGCAAAATAAGCTACGGATTAACAACCATTCAACCACGAAAGGTAGCATATGACATGGCAATTAAAAACAATATTCTTGTTCCAACGAATTGGATCAAAGGTAAAATAGCTGGACTACAATGGTTTCGTTCATTTTTAAATAAGCGTGGGAACCTCAGTATACGTCAACCAGAGGGTTGCAGTTTATTAAGATTAACATCATTTAATCCACACAATGTCAAAAAGTTCTTTTTTCTAGATTTTTCTAGATCTTTTTTCTAGTTTATTCTAGATATCCATTAGCTGTGTCTAATATCAGGATATATAACCTTGATAAGACTAGTACAACAACAGTGCAGAAACCTAAGAAAGTCGTGGCCGAGAAAGGTGTAAAACAGCTGAATAGTTGTACTAGCGGTGAAAGGGGTATTCTTATTACTACATGTGTAATTGTATGTGCGAATGGTACGTTTCTGCCTCCTGTTGTGGTTTTTCCAAGGAAATATTATAAGGAGCATATGGCACAAGGAGCTCCACCTGGCACACTGGGTTTGGCAAATCCAAGTGGATGGATGGATAACGAGCTGTTTGTTGACGTTATGAAACATTGCATTAAGTTTAGCAACAGTTTAATTGAAAAACCCTTCCATACTGCTCTACGACAATCATGAGAGTCACGTAACATATCAAGTTGTTTAACTGGCAAAGGATAATGGTGTAATCATACTGACTCTGCCTCCACATTGTAGTAACAAACTGCAACCCCTTGATGTTTCAATTTTCTCTCCCTTTAAAGCGTATTACAATGCTGCTATAGATTCATGGTTGCTGAACCATCCTGGTAAACCTATTTCAATATACCAGATAGCACAATGTGTAGGAGAGGCACATATGAAAGCATTAACACCTACTAATATTCTGTCAGGTTTTAATAAAACGGGAATTTTTCCCTTTAATAGAGACATTTTTTCTGAAGCTGACTTCATTAGCAGTTTTGTGACTGATAGACCAAATAAAACTGAACAGCCAAATCCACAACCAGAGTCGACAGAAATGTTTAGTGTGCTTTCCAATCAAGTTATATTATCCTCATCGAAGACACCTGAAAATCAAGAAGTATCCCCACCAAGGACACCTGAAACACCGATAATGTGTCAAAACTCTAAGTCAATAGTATCATCTGCGAATTCAAGTTCTTTCATATCCCCTCATGAGTTTAAAGGATTTCCAAAAGCAGAAAAGAGAAAAGGTGGAAAGGCAAGGAAAACTAAAAGAGTGCAATTTTAACTAACACACCTGACTTGGATCAGTTAAAACTACAAGCAATAACCAAAAAAATGACTCCTCAGAATAATAAACGAATTAGGGTCAATTTAAATAAGGTACCGAAGCAGAAAAAAAATAAACGAAGTGATAGCACTTCATCCGAGGAGGGTGAAGAACTAATAAATTACGATAATTCTTCTGGCGATGAATGTGAAAATTTACAGTTGGAAGACAATTATGACATTGATGCTAGTACAGAAATTTCCATTGATAATTTTGTATTAGTGAACTTTGAAAACAATATATTTTATGTTGCTAAAGTTCTCAAGACATTAGACGATAATGAATTTAAAGTGTCATTTTTAAGAAAAAGTGGTAAGCTTCAAGGCTGCTTTATTTTTCCTTTAGTTGAAGACATTGATGTAGTAGCAAGGTCAGACATTGTATCAATTCTACCAAAACCAAAAAATGTAGATGAAAAAAACAAGCGCCTTGCATCTTATTTCAAATTTGATGTAAAGTTTGACAGTATTAAGATCCGTTAAAATTTTCTTTCGTTTCAGTTTTTCTATTGTAAATGTAAAATTGCTATTTTTAATAACAAAAACTACACTCTATGTATTTATTTTAAAAAATTATTGAAATAATACCACTTGACTCATTGTGTACCACCACTTGACTCATTGTGTACCACCAATCGTACACAATGAGACGGATGTAGACGGTTAGCAAAATAATCATAGATTTTGTTTCTTCACTCATGAGGGAATATTTATTTCAGATTATATTGAGAAAATAATCATATTGATGCCTGGTTAACTCAGTTTGTAGAAAAATTAAAAAATGTCAATGTCAGACATAAAAATGTGTTTTTTGTCTCATTGTGTACTACCCTCCCCTACCTTAAGTACACATAAAAATCTCTCAACATTGTTGGAATTTTGTGATTTCTTGAGATGATACCAGAATCTGTTTAAATAGTGATAACCGGCGAATTCGTGTTTGGCCAACAAGAGCTGCAGAACTAGGACATGGCACCTAGTCCACCTGGCAGGTGTACGCAAGGAATTGGTAGTAATTGACAGGACTCTAACAGGCACAAAGGTACATTACACGGACTTTAGAACCTCATGTGAGATTATGGTGAGGAACTGAGGGTGAAAATTTTGTATTTATGGATGATAACGCCCGCCCACATAGGACTTAAGCTGCGGCTAATGACTATCTTGAGATAGAAGGTATTCGCCGTTTCGAGTGGCTTGCAATGTATCCAGTCATGAACCCCATTGAGTATGCCTAGCATGTGCTCTCCAGAGCTGTTCATGCCCGAAAAAATCCTCATAAAACCGATCATGAACTTACAATTGCCCGTAGAGAATAATGCGAACATCTGCCACAGAAAACGATCGATCGACTTGTTAGCAATGTTAGAGCTAGAATCCAGGTTTACGTCGATGGCAGTGCTGGAAATACACGATATTAAAATTGTTAAATACATTTTATTTAGATTTTTTTTTAATTAGAAATAAAACTAACAAAAAATTTCTGTTAATGTTATGATATTTTTTTAACGTTGGGAAACTTTAAATCCATTTGGATAATTTCAATTTTATAAAAATTTTAAATATGTATGTACCATTAAACATGAGCAGTTGTTTACTTCATTGTAAGTGTTCAAAAAATAATGGCTTAATTGAAATAGTTTATCAAAATTTTGTTTACAGTGTTACTTCATTTTAATTATGGGCAAAGAATGTTAAGTAAACGTAATTTTGAACACGTTTGTTTTTATCAAATTCTTTAAAAACAAAAACAGTACTCGATAATATTTAAAATATGCAAATATGTTAAATGGATTCACTAGAATGTGTTCGAGTTTACAAAACAAAATTATTTTTTTCCACCTCAAATCATTATTTACATAACGTATGCACCAAAACAAACACATGGAATAGATTCCATTGCAAAACTAGATACCAAACAATACTAGCAGGAAAATAAATAAACAATTAAAAAAAGATTACTATTTAACTGAGAATAAGCCACAATTAAAGAAATAAAGACGTTTATTAAAGTTTCAATTTCCACTTCGGAAATCGTTCTCAAAATACAAACAGTAAATTAAATAAATTTTGTTTTTTTGTTACATAGTGAAAAATTCTTCTAATAATTTATTTTATCTAACTCATTTATATTGACAATTCAGACATACATTATGCATTTTAAAGTAGACGACTTTAAAATGATATTGCCAATATTGTTGAGTTGCGCTCCTGGGACGACTTTACTTATAAGATAGTTCATTCGATTACATGATATCAACTTTAACTTGAGAATATCCGTCAGAAAAAATCATAGCATGTAATTCGTCTTTAAAAAGACAAACACAGGACATGATGACAGTAAAATTCTCCTGTTAGTGATTCCATAGTAAATTATGAGGGAAAAACCAGGAAAAAAACCTCATAATACTATCCCGACATGGTAAGTATTTGTTCGTGCATTTAGTTTACCTTCAATAAACACCAAAATTCTGATTTTATATGTTACGTTATTTAAAAAACATAAATGATGTATCCTCTATATGTTACTGACTTATTAATACTGGTATTTTCTTATTAATAACTTCTTCTTTCAATATTGGTAACCAGATCCTATTACATTCTGCCGAGGAATTTGCGACAGAATTGGCCTCATTTAGCATAATTAGAGCCTAAAAGAAACGGATAGTAAAAAAATCAAAGAAGCGGCAACAACAGGTACTAATAAATTTTTCGGAATACAACTACAATCAAAAAAAAAAAATAACTAAATGCCGCAACTTCTTCTTCTTCAAGTGCTCTCTCCGCTACGGAGTTTGGCAATCATCATTGCTATTCGTATCTTTGAAGCTGTTGCTTTAAATAATTGGTTAGATGTGCACTGGAACTAGTCTCTTAAATTGCGCTGCGAAGATATAGGTCGTCTCCCCACGCTTCGTTTGCCCTGAATCTTTCCTTGGATAATTTATGGACGTATCTAAATACATATCTAATGTGCTCACACTTTTAAAAAATATTTGATTGTCTTTTGCTTTTTCTTGTTTAGA